AAAAGCATCATATGAAGATGCAAGGTTTTTGAGCACAGAATGTTATAATAGAAATAATTATTCATTCACCAAACTTGTATTATATAATTCCATTACTTCTATGTTACCATATTTATTTATTTATTTATTTATTTTGGTTTTTCGAGACAGGGTTTCTCTGTATTGTTTTGGAGGCTGTCCTGGAACTCGCTCTATAGACCGGACTGGCCTTGAACTCACAGAGATCTGCCTGCTTCTCCATATTTCTAAAATAAATGTGGAACAAAAAATTTCTATGTGATAGAAAAATGCTATGCAAAATATATGTATTATAAAATATACATTTTATTTAAGAAGAAAAGAATGCCACCTTTCCTAAGCTTACAACCCTCTTTATATGAATCAAAATGACAGAATATTTGGAGTTTTACTAATGTATTCAAATATGTTAAAAGTTCAGTTTAAGGAGAAACTGAAAAACTCCAAATATCATGTATTATATCTATATAATTAAGTAGTCATTGTACCTAAAGGAATATTCAATTGACAGTTGTTATCACTTAAGATCCGAATCTAGTTCCAAGTAACCTAATCTCACCAGTCCCTGTGTGAACACCAGACGTTTATCCCAACCTAAACTTACATGAGTTCACTAGTGCAAACTGTGGTGTCATTTAAAGATGGGATGTGAAGCCTTAAAGTCGGTCACAAGTTTTGTTTAAGCTATACCACTGCATTCATTTTAGGTGAAGAATCAAGCTGTCCTTTATACAAACACACAAATATAGGCTAACAAATTACTTCCTTCCCTCAAGTGGCAAACAAGACAGGCAAAGCCTAAAGCTCAGCCGCGTGCATGCACAGAAGGAACATAAAAACACCCGACGGGAGTGTCAGGCGTGCCCTTCTCGCCAGTTCCCCTGGAAGCTAAGCAAAAAACTCCACCCTTTTAAGCCAGGGTTCCAGTAAATTAAGTTGGTAATACACCAATAGCAAGAATTCTACAGGTTCTAAAAACTGTTTTACCCTTTAAAGAGCAATATAGTAGACCATTCTGTGTTCTTACTAGGACATCATGCTTTTCTATATCAGATATTAGTCTCTTGTATATGGAGATGAATAAATTTGATCCAAAATAAATTGGCTTCTGTTTCTAATATAATAACAGAAAATGTTATAAAAGTGTCCTATTAGAATGCTTTTGTAGTAGAGAAAATAATTTCTCTATAACTTGTGATGATTCTAATTAAAATACTCTGGTTACCTTTTCACTAATGTAAATTTAAAAATTATTTCTTAAACTAAACAGAAATTATTCTTACATCATTTGGGGCTTTAACATGAGGATTCAGCTAGTCTATTTAAACGTGCAATTGTTTTACTTAGACATTTTATCCTACTGTACAAATAAAATGAAGCAAGCATTCATCCATTTTACAATAAATGAGTTGCACAGAACACAAGTTTGATCCAACTTACCAATAAACGTAGGTTACCAGGAAATTTGTACTGTTTAATTTTCTTAACTTACATGAACTACATAGGAAAACAAAACCTTTTCTTACTTTGTGGTTTTCACCTAGTAATACAAGACTGGATACAAAGATATTAAAATGTTCTTTCTTAATCAAAATATCATCTTGACCCTTAATTCAAATTTATTTTAAAAATTTAATTACATTTTAAAATTTTAATTTCTAATAGTTATTTTATTGTATCTACAAAAGAAATAAACACACAAAATAAGCACATGTATGTAGTTCACAGAAAAGGCAGGGCACTGTCAACTATGAAACACTGCCCTCTATAGGACATCTTTTAAATGACAACTGAATTTATTTAACACAATTTGGTACAGCGAACAAATTTTGAATTTTCCTGCCAGTCTTGTTCCTGAAGCAAAATTACTCTGCTCTCTAAGACTGTGTTTCCAGTGCTAGGGAAGGAACCCAGACCTCGTGCATGGTAGGCAAGAGCTTTACCTCTTCACCTCAGCCTCTCGTTACATTTGTGCTGCAAACCACAGACAGGACTGCCAGACGAGCTCCTCAGCTCAATCAGTTACTAACACACAGCTCTGTTTGCGGTGCTGTGAATACTGATAGCCTGAATTCTGATATGTCTGCAGCACAACAGGAAAGAAAGAGAACTTCAATTCCAAGTGGCAACTACAACAGAAAAGGGGACCACAGAAAACGGTCTGTGTTTGCTTTCCAGGGCGACTCAAGGGGAAAGGAGAATGTCCCTGCAGGGGAAGAGCAACTCAACTAGTACTGGAAAGAGCGCATGGGGCAGAAGCGTTAGCAGCCCTGGGCTGCACGTCAAGTGGGGGGCATGTAAAGATAAACACCAGATGCCAGCACATCTGAGGAACCTGCAGTGCGGCCTGCGTGCCTTTAGTCTTGAAGCTCCCTACAGAGGACGCTCATGTGCAACGGCCTCCACCTCCCCAGAGCTGGATGACAGACATCTGCTTCAATGCCTGGGTTTTTAATGAATTATTTGCAGATAAAAGACAAGTAAACGATGCTACCCAAGCTGATGAACAGTAGCTTTGCCAAGGCCAGACAGCTACTGGGCATCTAGACAACTACTTTATTTGGCTACTGGAACAAAGGAGAGGAGACTGTCAGTTCTCCCATTATGCTATTTATCGTCCTAGATTATACATAGGTAAAATAAAAATGGATGTAAGAGTCACCAGACTAGGGAGGCACAGAGAAAGGACCTTACTAACGATATCTGAGAAAACATCAAGATCTAAGGTTGTTTTTTGGCTTTTTATTTTTAAGAAAAAGGGAATGATTAATGAAAACTAAAGTATCAACAAGAGCACTGAAACTCATTGAAAGTCCTGGCAACTCCCATAATAAAACCCTCATCTTATTCACTATGAGCTTTGCTCCCTCTGGTGGCCACAAGAGGTTTTACTAGGTGTGATCGGAAAAACGGTACAGGATGAAGAAATGCAAGAACTGTCCAGATTTACCACTTATGAAAACAACAAACACATACTTTATGCTAATATTTGCAGATGCTTACCGACCACCCTCCCCTGTACCTCTCCTCCCTTCCTGCTCCGCTGACATTAGCATTTGAGTGTCGTGGAAGCAGCTCTTCAGAATTACACACCTGGAGCCACACTCTGAAGAACAGGCCTTGACGTATGAGTGCGCACTGCAAGGGACTTTCTAAAGCTTCATCTTATACTCTCCCACACGTTTATGTTTTATATTTTATGCTTGCATTAATTGTATTAATAATTGTTTGCTGGACAATGTTTGCCTCTGCCTCCCAAGTGCTACAACTAATGGTGTGCGCTACCACTGCCTGGCAACATTAAAGTATTTTTAGAATAATGCATTAAAGGAATTACATTCGATCCCCATCACCACCAACAAAAAAGTAAAATTTCATAATTATTCTAAGATGAGAGACATATTTTATTATTAAATAAAGATTTCTTAAGGAAAAAATTGTCTAACCACCCAAATATAAGAGTCATAGTAGGTACTGAAGGTACTATGACAAATTCAGTCATATACCAGAATTTATATACTCAAATGCCTTCAAAGGCTATGAGCCAGACAGAAGTAGCCAACTGTACACCAGCAGGAAAGCACCAAGCACCACAGTGCCAAGACCTAGAAATGCAGTTCAGGAGGCATCTATTTGACCACTGAGCCTCAGATCTGGAGCCCTGAGGACATTTGTGACACGTGCATACTGCTGCTTTACAAAAGATTAAGCAACCGGGCGTTGGTGGTGCATGCCTTTAAACCAGCACTCTGAAGGCAGAGGCAGGCGGATCTCTATGAGTTCAAGGCCAGCCTGGTCTACAGAGCGAGTTCCAGGACAGCCTCCAAAACAATACAGAGAAACCCTGCCTCAAAAAAACAAATACATTAATAAATAAAATCTTTAAGAATGTATATTTCAAGGGCCATCAACATGGGTTAGTGGGTAAAGAGTCTTGCTGCCAACCCTGTCTACCTGAGTTCAATCCTTGAAAGCCACACAGTAAAGGGAAAAAGACATCCCCTGTAAGTTGTGTTCTGACTGTCAAATGCACATGGTATAAGCATACACATGAAAATATTTTTAATTGGCTTTTAAAATATTTCAAAACAAAATAACAACCCCATTGGTACTAAAGTCTTTTGAGGCATTCTCCATAAGTGTCCTAGAAAGGTAGGATTCATGTCTGTGAACATTATCCAATGCCTATAACACCTGTAGTCATTTTTTTCCATGCCATTCTCTAGAATTTACATATTATTGAACATAAATCTTAAGGTGTTTTATCATCCTTATCGTGTTTTAAACTATATAATGGAAGAAATAATTTTGTATTTGCCTTATATTTCTAAGTATCTCAAACTTGCACAGTAAATGTTCATCAAAACCATCAAAGAGGAGTTGGAGAGTTAGGTCAGTGGTGAAGAACACTTATTCAGGTTGGTTCCCAGCACCCCCTGGTGGTTCACAATCAACTATAACATCATTTCTGAGGAAATAGATACCATCTACGGCCTCCAAAGGCATTGCACTCATAAAGTGCAATACATGCAGGTATATAAAATAAATAAATCTAAATTGTTTTAATTGAAAGAAATTTTTTCCCAAGATGATGATGATCTCCAGATAAATTCCAAATTCTGATATAAATTCTGTTCTTGTAAGATTAAATTATACTTCTAAAAACTCTCTACTACTCTGAGGCGGTCTCTCCATCAGCTGCTGGTCATATTAATATTTAAATAGTCTTTTTTTAAAGATTTATTTATTATGTACAGTGTTCTGCCTGCATGTATGCCTGCACCCAGAAGAGGACACCAGATCTCATTATAGGTGGTTGTGAACCACCGTGTGGTTGTAGAAATTGGAAGCACAGTTAGTGCTCTTAACCTCTGAGTCAACTCTCCAGCCTTTAAGTAGCCATTCTCACAGATAAATATTACTATTACCTCGTAGTCTTTGACATTTCATAGAAAGTATTACATACACTTAGTAAGTCTTACCTGAGGATTCCAGCCTGGATCTAGCTTTTTAACTGCTGCAATGTATTCCTGCATTGCTTGGTGGGGGCTGGAGTCACCAAGGGCTTTCCACGCTTCCCTACAATACACAATAGCCACAACCTTCATTAATGATGCAAAACACCAACAGCACCTTTTCTAGACAGGATCTTGCTATGCGGCCCTGGCTGACCTTAAACTCACATGTCACATCCAGCTAGTGTATGTCTAATATTTTACACACACCATGTGTCCAGGGTCTGAGGACACAATGATAGACCACACAGAGGAGAGGCATTCCACTTACGCTTTTACACTGAAAGACAAGGAGAAAGCTCATTAACCTACCTCAAGGACCTTTTGGAAATTTTCCCCCAACTGCCTTCTCTCATGAAATTTTAGAACACAGATGTCTTTGCCTACCTGTTGAACTTTGAAATAACACAAATTATAGTAATCTAAGATTTACTTAGTCTCCCTAAATCCAATGTTCATCATTACTGAGACTGCATCATTCATAGACCAGTAAGGTACTTCCCATCATACAAATTAATTGCTCAGGCTAGCAGGACAGGCTGCTTGGTTTACACCAGCCAAGTCTTCCCACTTTTAAGCAGGTATCTCTATAATCTTATAGAGAATCCAGTCCTCTTCTCACTACCCTCCTGCTCCTATGAAGAAAGCAAGATCTTTCTGAGGCTTTCTACAATTTTCTCTGAATCTCTTGACAGTTACTTACAAGTATAACACCTCACCCCTAAATACATAAGCTTATATCAAACTTGGGAATCACTATCAATTCTATAACATGGAAACAATCTTTTCAGATTCCTTAGTTGTCACAGCAATGCCCTGTATGACTGTTTTTCCAGACCAGAAATGAATCAAGCCTCACACACAGCACTGAGTTTCACTTATCTTTCTCTTTCATATGCTGACATTTTTAAGAGTCAAAAACAATTATTTTACAAAATACTAGTCAGTTTGAATTTGTCTAATTGTTTTCTCACCTAAATAGTGTTCTTGTCAAAATCATGATTAAAATTAGATTAAACATTTAGGTAAGAATAATATGTAAGTGGCATGTCCTTTACAATGGGTCACAGTAAGGACACAGGATGCCAGTCTGTCCCACAGCTAATATACTGATGAATTGGTAATGGCAGTATCTCACAGTTTTCTACTTTATCAATTAATAAGAGTGGCTATAAAATATAAACTTTGGAGGGCAGAGAATCACTGAAAACAATGGAGAACTGGGCAATGAATAAGGGAAAATAATAAAGTGATAAATTCCACAAGACAAAAAAGCTCAGAGTAAAAGTTACATTTGACATTCTCTAGATACTAAAATTTGAGAAACTGTTTATCACCAACAGATAATTTGTAACAAAATGTAAAAGGAAGCACTGAAGATGTACCACAAATTGAAAAAAGAGATGGTCTATGAAGTCAAGAGTGTGGTGGCAGCCTAAGTGACTGGCATCCAAGTTCAAGCCTCGCCCCTCCTCACAGGTGAATGCTGGCAGGTGGACTACATCCAGAGGAAATTTGGTGCAGGGCAGTGTTAGGATATAGTATCAAATGCAAGGGTTAGCATTTGTTTTTCTCTCTACCACCACATTTAAAAAAAAAATTCTACCCTGAGACTGGATGGTTCAGTGGTTAAGAGCACTTGGTGATTTTGCAGAGAACAGACATTCAGTTCCTGGCCAGCACCCACATGGCAGCTCATAACCATCTGTAACTTCAGTTCTGGGGATCCAAGAACTTCTGATATCAGTGGCCATCACATCCATGCAAATAAAATCAATAAATCTAAAAACAAACAAAACAACAACAGAAAACTCTATCCTAAAAGACCTTTAATACAAGAAGTAATTAACATAAAATAAACAGAAAGGTGTTCCTCGGATATGTTATAGTCCTGCATGAAACCACGTGACTTGGACTCCAAAAGACTGTGGTTGATATTGACAGTTGCCAAATTAGAATGGACAGCTTTAACTGTGTGTTTAAAGTCATGTTCACATGCTTAAAATTGCAGCAATTACTGAAATGTAGGAATATTTCCTTAACATACTGATCACAAAGCAATAAATAACTCCACCCTCAACACTAATTTTACCACTGGGGCTGACGCACAAAAGTCTTCCTTTTTTAACTATGTTCACTATTGTTTAACACTTTCTCTTTTTCCACTGGATCCAGGTAAGGAAAAAATAATGTGACTCTTTGAATTATAGGTGAAAAATGTATTCAGAATAGAGTGAGCCTATGTCAGGTTTTACATTTTTTTTCTCCACAATTCTTTCTAAAAAACTGTGACAAGCACTTCTTTTCTGTGGGTCAGAGGCAGAGACAAGTAGGCAGTGGGGATTTATCTTGTTCTTTCCCTTCCTTCTATGTGGGAAGTGGTTCCCTACAGAGTATCTACCAGAAACAACCTTGAGAAGATAAAGGGCTCTCTCAGAAGTGCACCTCTGCTCTGCCTACCTATATACTAACACCAGTGACAAAGACTCCTTTAGACTTAGATAAAGCAGATTGCTTTAATCCCTATCCCACTGCCTGTCACTAGCAGCCAACTGCAGAGAGATTAACATAGAAAGAATTCTTTAATCTGCTAACCCCTTCTAATTCCTAAACCCTAAGTCATTTCCAACAACCTTACTAAGGATCCCAAGAATGTTCCTTACCATTTTTGCTTTCCTTCAAAATCAAAGAAGTTTGGTTTAGGAATGTTGCAGTTTCCAACTTTGACCTAAAAGAGGAAGGGGAAAAAAATAACAAGAATTTATTTCAGTTTTCTAAGGAATATATACAGACTTTTTATCTTTCAAATTTATTACATATATTTAATAAATATAGATTAGAAAACATTTGGATATATATAGGATAACAATTTTAACATTCTCTGCAAAGCAGTCAAAAAATTCAAATAATCCAAACTGAAAACACCAGCAGCACCAGGTGTTGTGATGTACACCTTTAGCAGGGGCAGGTGGATCTCTGTGCATTCCAAGTTCTCTACGAGTTCAGGGCCCGCCTACTCTATACAATGTACTCCAGGCCAGGCAGGGCTACACAGTGAGACTCTGTCTAAATTAACTAATTAATTATATGAAAACACCACCTAAGCAACCTTGGCTTTCTATATAAAGTAACTGATAATACTATAACACAGGCCAAAAAAAAAAAAAAATGGGTGGCAAGTAGCAGTGTTTCTAAACTAGCAGACTAATTATAACACAAGTTACAGATAAAATTAGTCTTTACTGTCATTAAAATAGAATTTTATGCTGGGCAGTGTGGCTCACCCTTTTAGTCAGCACTCCGGAGACAGAGGCAGGCGGATTGCTAGCCAAGGCTACATGTCTTGAACCCCACCACCAAAAATATAATTTTGTAAGTTTTAATGTATTACTGTGTGTGATGTGTGCACACCAGGGGCGGGGAAGGTCAGAGGACCACTCCATCGTGCAGGTCCTCTTTCGGGCTTCCACAACATGTGCTTTACATGCGGTCATTCCACCAGTAACTAACAAACTTCAAAGCTTATTTTCCAGAATTCATAATGGGGTTTTTGTCATGATCATTTTCATGACTCTACTAGCATTTTATCTCTCCGCAAATCCAGGATAAAATGTACTATTTTAAAAGCACCACATTAGTCAGGCATGAGGGTGCATGCCTTTAATCCCAGCAATCTCTGAATTCAAGGCCAGCCTGGGCTACAGAGTGAGTTCCAGGACAGCCAGGACTACACAGCGAAAACCTGTCTCAAAACGAAACAAAACAAGAACCTAAATAAAAAGCACCACAGTAAATAAATTTAGATGTCAAAAGCTGGGGCAGGGATTAGAGTATCAACAATAATATAGACGCTATCTATGTCTTCAATACTTCTGATGTTGTTGTTTATTTATTTATTTATTTATTTATTTATTTATTTGGTTTTACGAGACAGGGTTTCTCTGTATTGTTTTGGAGGCTGTCGGTCCAGCCTGGCCTCGAACTCACAGAGATCCGCCTGCCTCTGCCTCCCGAGTGCTGGGATTAAAGGCGTGTGCCACCACCACCCGGCTTCTGCTGTTGTTTTAACTCCTGAACCCACTACTTCTACCTCTCAAAATTGGGGTTAATCCCAAGTGCTGGGATTAAAGGTGTGTGCATGCACCACCAACCCCAAGATCTAATATATATATATATATATCAGATAAAGTCTACACATACTAAAGCTCTTTGTAGAGTTTAATTCTAAGAGGCAAAAGAAATCACAGGAATCATATAACCAGAGTTTGAGAACTCCTGTTTCAAGTTTTGCTTTCATGGCCAGAGAAGCTCAAAATCAGTATGCATATACTAGCTCAGGCAAAGCAAAAGGAGAAAGAACCTTTTGTTTTTTGATTGTTTAATTTTATTTATTTTATTTAGAGAGTACACGCACTTGTGCTTGTAGACACTTGCAAGCCACAGTGTGTATGAAAGTCAGAGGACAACTTTCAAGTCAGTTTTCTCCCTCTGCCAAGAGTTCCAGAGATTGAATTCAGGTTGTCCAGCCTGCTGGGCAAGTGCTTTTACACACTGAGCTGTCTCACTGGTTGCCCTAACTCATCACCTCCTACAACATTTCTATATGAGTAGGCATGCCTGGTGCCTGCCAAGACTAGAAGAGGTCATCAGATCTACTGGAAATGGAGTTACAGACAAGTGTAAGCTGCCACGTGTGGATCCTGGGGACTGAATCCAGATCTTCCGCAAGAGTGACAGGTACTCGTAACCACTGGACTAGCTCTCCAGTACCCCCACCTCTTTGTTTTTAAGCAAAATATTTTACTATAATTTTCATAAACATCCAGTCCTAGGAGTAGGCAGAAGTTGCATGGCTTATAGACTACAGTTGGTGTAGTTTGTCCCCTTTTGTATATGTAGCAGAGTCCAGCAGTTGGTATGATTTTAGAGATGCCAGACTGGCTGACTACCCAGATTAGCTACGTCAGCAACTGAGTTCAGTGACATATTCTGCCTCAATGAATAAGGTAGAGAGCCACTGAGGAAGATATCAACTCACCATCAACTCCAGCCTCCACACACACACACACACACACACCACACATATGAATACAGACAAGAAAAATTAATAAATTAGATTTTTAAAACATTCATTTATTTGAAAATAAATCTAGTACATGGTAATGTAAATTTTTATGAAAAATTACTACATTCTAAACAAAAAAGAAAACAGAAAAATGGCTCTGCAGTTTTCTCAAATCTCTTCACTATCTAACATACTTGTAGTGTCACACTTCTGCATCCAATCTCTCTCTCTGTATGTTGGTTTGGACGGAACCCATGAAGCAGTTTCTGTTTCACATAGATACACTGCTAGAGATTAGTATTTGTATAGCATTCCCACCAACTATGGGTATTCTCTGATACAAAACTCAACAAATGGTAGTTTCTCCAAGATTAGCTACGGTGTGGAATCTGAACTTACTATGAATTTTTTATACAGTGATAGTGAAAACCACTCCTCAGAATTTTCATTTTGGTTGGAACTTTTGCTCACACTGATTTTAACATTATCCCATGAAATATTTAGAAAAGATCCTATTGAATCATTCAGCATTTCAAAATGTTGACACATTGCATTATACATGAGCGAAATTTCACATTCATTATTGCCACCATGTCAGGAAGGAAGAGTACTTTGTAAGCACTGGAGAGCTGTCAACCCAATAATGGCAGACCTCATTTTTTCCAAACTTCTACTTTCCATTTGACAATTCAAATATTATCATTGGCAACAAATATTTACAGGTGTTTTCCAGGCTTACTTCTTTCATCTTCAAGAAACTATCTGCTAAACACCCAAATCCAAACAAAGTTTATATAGTTTTCGATAAGTAAAAATGAAGTCCCATGGGAAAAGAACATAGTTAAGTTTGTAACTAAATTATAGCTATGACTTTTCCCCAATTTCCTCAAAATCACCAATATAATCAGGTACGTAACAGAAGTGTCTGTGTGTTTCTCCCATCTCACAATTGTTTCTTTGTTTTGAGACGGAGTGTAGCTCTGGCTGACCTGGAACTTACTGTGTTGACCAGGCTGGTCTTGAACTAACAGCAAACACAGACTTTACCTCCCCAGAGCACTGGGATTAAAGGCCTGCACAATCACACCTGGCATGGCACAAAATGTTCAACAAGACTTGTATAGCAATCTCTCCCGGGGCACATCATTATTAACATGTATTCATAATCAGCATTATGAATACTCACTCCATCCATAGGTAAAGATGTTTGCCACTGTGCCTGATGGCCCCTGTGATGAAAGGAGAGAACCAAGCCCTGCAGGTTGACCTCTGACCTCCACTGTCACACACCTGTGCACACACTAAAAATGTAATCAGAAAGAAATACACCAGGGTCCTCACACCTACCTAAAAAAGAGAATTCGGGAGAAATATATGAAATGATACCAAGAGGCATTTTTAAAATTCTAATAAAATAAAAGAAGCTATTATCCAGAGCTTCATTTCTTTCAACATTTCAAAGAGCTGGGATTTTCCTGAGCTGCTATTTAAGTCATCCCCAGTTTTTCACATTTCCATCTAGATTCCTTAAGGAATCCTGTAAGCCTCTGAAGGGCAGTGTCATGTTCTTTCATCTTTGCATTCTCTGTAGACATGACATCTAGTGTTCTGCTCAACTGTATCTGTTAACTGTGATAAAGCAATTTTTTTTTCCTTTTGGTACCTAACCTTGAATGATAAATTAGTTTTACATATGTAACTCATATAGTTCCTTACCGTTAGGTAAAGTTCAGTCTTATGAGTCAGAAACTACTTTAATTCTAATATATCCATGTAACCTTCTGGGTTGCCTACTCCCCTGGGTTTTTGTTGTGTATTTGTAAAAGAAAGTGATTCTGGAAGCTGAGTCAAGAGTTCATCACCGGCCCCCCATGTTGTCAACATGGAACCCTTTCCAAAAAGAGGTGGGGGGCTATATCTTACAGAACTAAATTCAGCCAAAAGCATGTCAACTATATTTAGAGTCTCTAAAAATCGCAATAGTAACAGTGTACTGTGTGTTTTATATATATAGTAATATTCTCTTAAATCTCAAATTTATTAACATTACCATATTTTCTATCACATGTTCTTTTGGCAACAACGAATAACAAATTTTATTTTATCATTCTTGCTTTGTAAAGGTTCAGGAGCAAGGCCACTAATAGTGCCAGTGTCCAGCCAAATAAATATCATTCGTAGGATAGCAGGGAGATGTTTTCCATGTCCGGAATGATGCTATTTTCTAGCGTCAAAACACAAACAAAACGAGACACGCACGCACACTTCATTACACTCCACCATTAGCCCGGCACACCTCTGTAGGTTTCTGGAGGAGGACGCCCGTGCCCTGTCTTATCCACCCATCTTTTACCTGCTTGTACCTGGCATACAGGTACAAGAGCTGCTCCCTGCTGGCCACCTGAATCAGGCCTTGAACGTGGGCGGCAGCCTTCTCAAACTGCTCGGCCAGGCTCCGGGACGCCTCGATCTCGGGGTTCTGGGGGGATTCCATATCACCGGAGTCGTCCCCGGAGCTGAGTTCCCCACCGCTGTCGCCCGTGGTGGCCCCCGCGGGTAGGAACGGTGTGGCCATGTCCACTAGCTCGATGTGCTTCTGTCCTCACCAGAGTGACGCCGACTCCGGGGCCTGGACCACGAGTCTGGGTGCGGAGCCCGGGCAGGAGTGGGACACCGCTAGCTGTGAGGCTTTCTCAGGTGACTGCCTCTGCGAAGCCCCGCTGCGATCCCCGGGCCGCCCCGCCCTCCTCCGGCTTCCCTCGGTCGGAACGAGCGCCTGGCCTCGCCCGGGTCGCTCCAACGGCGCAGGGATCAGCAGGCACCTCGGCTGGGAGGCGAGAGGAAGCCGGCGGCGCGCGGCGGCCAGCTGCCACCGGAGCTAGGTGGGGAAGCGCGGGGCGCGAGCTCGGCGGGACGCGCTCCGGGGCACGCGCCCGTGGCTATGCCGCCCCCGAGCGAGCCTCTGCCCTTCCCCGACGGGAATCGTGGGTTCTGGCGGGCGCGTTGAGAGTGGGAGAGACCGGCCTCAGTTGCGGAGGAGTTTACTCGTGGTCTGGAGATAATTCGGAGTCACAAACTCCGGAACTCACGCGGATAGGCCCCCGGGGAAGGGGAAAGAGGCGGTCCATTAGGTGGTGTAACTGCAGAAGGGGCGTAGCGGGAAGCAGGGAGCTGAGGACGAAAGTTCCGCCTTCTCCTAACCACCCAAGTCAGTGCGACCCAGGCTCCCTCAAACCCTCTGTTATCTGTTCCTCAATATCTTGGCTCTGTTTTGAATACCAAGTGAACGGCTGATGGAGCCTTCACTGCCCCACTGTGTGTCTAAATAGTCAAATTACCCCCCTCCCCAATGTTTTGTTTTCCATACCTGCTGATCCTTCATTTTCCCAGGGCTCTGAGAGAAAGAAGGTCTCATCAGGGCCCCAGTCCCACCTACTTTAGCATCATCTCATCTCATACTTGGCTGATATGCTTCTCCTACATCTTAAAGTGAAATCCAGAAGTCCTCATGGTTCTGCCCTAAAGGAACAGATCTTTTCTGTGTTCAGCACACTGTCAAAAATGAAAACTACACGGACACACAAATTCCATTACACCTATCCACACATTTGCTACCAGCTTTTAGAAAAGCCCCATTTTGGTATTCTCTCATGCAGGGACTTGAGAACCTCACTGAAATGAATGCTCTCAGTTGTTAGGTGATTCATATAAGTGTGTGTGTACGTGTGTGTGTGTGTGCTGTGTGTGTGTGTGTGTGTGTGTGTGTATGTAGAAGAAGGTGGTAGTAGTAAGTAGTAGTGGTGGGTTTTGTTTGTTTGTTTTTCGAGAGAGGGTTTCTCTGCATTGTTTTGGAGGTTGTCCTGGAACTCGATTTGTAGACCAGGCTGACCTCGAACTCACAGACATCTGCCTGCCTCTGCCTCCCGAGTGCTGGGATTAAAGGTGTGTGCCACCAACACCCAGCAGCAGTAGCAGCAGCAGCAGTAGTAGTTAAAAACTTCCAACAATCCCAAAACCGAGTGTCATCAGATACTTTCTTGGATATAGAAAAGCTTCCCCCATCTCATTTTTACTGCTTTTCTGATGTACCCATCAAAGTATTTTAAGCTTACTTTGATTTGTGACTTTCTTTGTTCTGTAAAACTACTTCTACATTGGAACATGGAATTTGGGGTAACATAAATTTGCGTTCCCCACGTCATGGTCACTCAAAGTGACTCCAGAATAAACTATTCCCTTTAAGATGAGTGTGGTGGTTTAAATAAGAGGCTCATATATTGAATGCTTAGTTATCAGGGAGTAGCACTACTTGAACAGGATTAAGAGGTGTGGCCTTGTTGGGGTAGATGTGGCCTTGTTGGTAGAAGTCTGTCACTGGGGTTAGGTTTTGAGGTTTCAAAGGCCTAAGCCCAGACCCAGTGACTTTCTCTTCCTGCTGCATACCAATACACATCCAGATGTAGAACTCACAGTTACTTTCCAGCACCATGTCTGTCTACATGCTGCCGTGCTCCTCGCCATGATGATAATGAACTAAACCTCTGAAACCTTAAGCAAGCCCCAGTTAAATGCCGTTGCCATGGTGTTGCTTCACAACAATAGAACACTAAGACAATGAGGGGTGTGGTTTTTGCATCAACAGTGGCTAATATGTTCCAAATGTTGTAAATGTGCATGTATTCATTTATCACTAAAAACACCAATAAGCATAAAGGCTAGTTGCAAAGAACGGTTATTGACCACTCGGGATTAAGCTTTAAAAGAAGTTTGGACAGGATAAGCAAACAATGAGAAACAGAAGGTAAAAGGCTTGGATCTGAATTCAACATTTTTTGAGAATAGAGAATCAGCGGTTCCACTATTAGTCCCTCCTCAACAGGAATAACAAGGAAAATATATATATTTAAAATATGATAACTGGAAGGAATACAGACAATTCACAGACAAATGATCTGTACACACCTTACTGAGGGCCAGATCATAAGGCGCTGTAATGGAGAACAGGCATGTGCTGAGCACAAAGCAGCCAGCCTCTCCGGCTCTGACTCCCACGTTGTAACAAACACAAGGACTCAACATTTATGCAGTTTAGAGTAAGAGAGCAGACAGAAACAGCAAAAGAGAACAGATCTGTTGTGGGTGGATAGATTCCCAGGATGGTGAGACCAAATGCCAGGAGAGCCTAGTGAGTAAAATGCAAAGTTGGGTACCTTTTGGCGGGCCCTGCCAAGGTATGCCACTAAGAGATCACACCAGGATCAACAGGGTTAGTGCAAGAGACTTACTGGGGACACGGAGAGTGGAAGGGTGAAAGGCCACCTCAGAGACATGAGAGGCAGAAGACAGACACATGGAGAACAGGGAAGAGGCAGGGTGGGAGTGCAAAGCTCAAAACCCTGGATGAGGAAGCTCAACCCATTAGTCACATGCTGTGAGACAGCCCCAATTTGGACAAATTTTTCAGGAGACACCCCAGGGGTGACTGAGAATCGAGTTTAGACCCACAATTGCCCATTTACAAGCCTATGCCAGAGACGGAAGCCTAGAGCAGTTTACCCACTGCTATAGCCTGGGGTTGAGGGTGAGGGTGGGGGTGGGATTGCCTTTGGGGTTGAATGTCCCCTCCACAAAGGACCCATGGAACAAAGATGGTCTTTGCTCTAGAAACAGATCGGGGTTGCCCAGTGCAGCTGAGGCTTGGTGGGAACCCCGGGGTCTTGACTAGGAGAAGGTCCTGGACCTCTGTAGGTGATGACTTGGAAATGAGTGACTTACCCGAGTCAAAATTCAGTCTGTCTGGCAGAGAGGGAGATAAAAAGATGCAGGTGGCCATGTTACAGGAGCACCAGGTGACAATTGAAGTTCAAGGTGTCAGCCCACCAGAAGGAAGCTCTGATGGGTCAATCTCGGACAGGCAAGTCACAGAGACCACAGACCTGGGATTGTCTTTTGCTTCTGCTGTGCCTTTACATGTTTGCTGCTGCCATCTTTCTCTGGTATCTGGCATGGTGTGAATGGATGTGAGGAGACCCCCCACTGCCTATAATGTAGTGTGTTTATCTAATGGAAATGTCCCAATCTATTGGGAACTTTTATCTGTGGATTGTCATGAAGATGATTCCTCTATAAACTGTACTGTCTGGTCTAATTGATAATAATAATGATAGCTTATATAGTTTTGGTGAATAAAAATAAATATAAGGAAATGCCACACAGCCAGGGCCTAAGAGTTTCATCTAAGGAGCTGCATAGACCATAGCTCAAATTAATGATTAAGAAAAACAATTGAGCTGGGTGTTGGTGGCCCATGCCTTTAATCCCAGCACTCGGGAGGCAGAGGCAGGTGGACCTTTGTGAGTTCGAGACCAGCCTGGTCTTCAGAGCGAGTTCCAGGACAGGCTCCACAACAATACGGAGAAACCCCGTCTCGGAAAAAAAAAAAAAAGAAAAAAGAAAAACAATTGAGTCCGAGGAGCCAATCTGGCTCAAATTCCTTTCATCTTAATGCTGAAAGACACTGTCACAGGTTTCACTGTGCATCATGAGCTGAAACAAAGCTTTAAAATAACTTGAGTTTAGATCAGATGCTATGATAATCGTTTTAAGATGAAAAATCCTAGAAAACAATCTAAAGTTCACAAGGAACAAAGCTGAGGTAAAAAATATAAAGCAGCCCAGTTGTTACTAGCTGACATACTTTCCTCGCTAGAGTTAGTTGATCAGAGGTGATGATTCCTTGTACCCATTTCTGCTCTCAATCTCCTGATATATATATATATTTAAAAAAAACTATTGATGAGTGAGTATGCACCCTAAAGGTTAAAAGTAGAGTTGACTGATTCTTTTTCATATATAAAAGTTTAGATTTGTGATTCCCTTATGATTCCTTATAAGATTACCATTTAAGATAAGTAATAAAAAGTAATGGACCCTTTCTTTGTAACTGCAAAACGCGGCCTGACAATAAAAGACCTGACTAAGAATACCTTGCTTGCCCACATGGTTATTCTATAACAAGTTGTTTGGGTATGAATATACATGGGTTCTCGGGATAATTTGGGTTTTTTTACCTGGAAAATATCAAATATTTAATCATGTAAGGGATATGGAAAACATGCTATTTTTTTACTGTTTTTCTTTTATTCCTTGCAATCATTCACTTGAAAACAGAATGTAACCACATTGTAATTTCTTTCTTTCTTTCTTTCTTTCTTTCTTTTTTTTGAGACAGGGTTTCTCTGTGGCTTTGGAGGCTGTCCTGGAACTCCACACTGTAATTTCTATATTGCCTGAAATACTTTGTTGGGGTATATAAGTGTTGCTAGACCCACCTGGTCCTGCTGCTTCAGCCCCAAATGAACACACAGAAACACTACATTAATTATAAAATGGTTGGCCAATGACTAGGGCTTCTTTTTTTTTTTTTTTGGTTTTTTTGAGACAGGGTTTCTCTGTAGCTTTGGAGGCTGTCCTGGAACTCACTTTGTAGACCAGGATGGCCTCGAACTCACAGAGATCCGCCTGCCTCTGCCTCCCGAGTGCTGGGATTAAAGGCATGTGCCACCAATGCCCGGCTTCTGTCTTAATTATTAACCCTAACTATAAACCTATGTATTTCTACATGGTCTTATCTTACCAGAGAATGCCTGGTGCATGCTATCCTCCTGGTCTCTACATGGTGTCCCTTCAAGGTCCCTTCCTGCCTACATTTCCCAGAATTCTTCTCGACTCCTTCTCCTGCCACTTATTGGCCAAAGTGTTTTATTTATCAACCAATATGAGAAACATATATACAGAAGGACATCCCCCTTCATATAAGCTGTAGGGAAAAAAGTATACAGTAGAAAAGAACACAGAAGGAGGAGGAGGAGGAGGAAGAGAGAATAAAGAAGGGAACCATCAACAGAGAGTGTGAGTGTCTTTTTCCCTTACTCCCCCCTCATATAAAAACGTCTAGTATACGCCAAAGCCATGGATTTCTTTAAAGCCCTGTGCTGTCTGGAGACTACCCCCTCCCCAGGCAGCAATAAAAAGAAGAGTGGCCTCTCATGTGGTGCACCAAACCAGTAAATCTCTAACTTTCCTGTTCTTGGTGTAATCAGGAGGGCACTATGGGGATTCCT